GGCCACCGCGAAGGCGGCGGCAGCGGGAATGGCGGCGAGCTCATGAAAGACTCCATTTACCATTCCATAAAAGCATCAGGCTCTCGTTTATTGAGGTCACTGCTCAGCCTCACCGCGCCGCAGCGCACGCCCTGGGTCCAGGCCAGGCTCCTGCCCACCGCGGTGTGGCCGTGCTGCGCCGAGGAGGCCCCTGGCTACAAAGCCTGAAGTGGATAAACCCACTAATCAAACACCAGACCTCTTCTTTACAATCCACTTCCACGTCTGCCAGCACGAGAAGAGCAAACGGCTTTCACCAACAAGCAGCTCAAACCCACCCAGCATGAAGACACCATGGAATGACCCTAAACTCTAATTTCATTAGTTCATATTTAGCTTTGAGTGTTACTAATTCTAAAATCCCTCCACACATTTAGGTCAACAAGTCATTAAGCTAAAGTTAGATCTTGCTATCTCCAGAAATACATTAACATATTTAAGGCCATAAAACATGGCAATCTACATACTGCTAAGGTTGTTCAGGCTTAGACAAATAAATTATCCTTCAAATATGGAAACAATATATTACTGCCATACTTAGGGTTTGGTAGTTAAACATATAAACACAAAGTAAATGATATCAAGTTAGTTTACATCTCTTTTGGTGCTCCACAGATTATCAAGTGCAAGAACAGTGTGGCATTCAATTAGCTGTTCAACATCTTTTTTTCATAGAAAAATAACATGTCCATAAACAAAAACAAATGATTTTTCAACTGCCTCAGTGATCAACTCCTTTATTTTACCTTAGTTAAAGGCAAGCTAAGTACAGATACTGTACATTAAAATGTATGTACATAAAAAGAATGGTCGTTCTTCATTCTACCTCAAAGGTTCCATTTCTACATTCTTTTATTTATGTCCCTTTCCAAACAATTACCCCTCTCTGAAACATATTGCCTCTACAGTTAAATATAAAGAGAGCCGTCTGCAGGTCCCACATAGCCAACAGCAATGAGCAGCACATCAATGAGTGTCCATATTCCAAGTCCACCAAAGCTGAAGAGTTTTCCCAGACCTTCCCGCCACTGGCCCAAATAGAAACGATCGGCTCCAAATCCGCCAAGGGTAATGCTAAAAGAATAAAAACATGATTATTTATTTCTTAATCGACTCCGTTTGGGTATCCATACTGGTTTCTTTTGATATACCTACAAGTTGATGATGGTTTCTCAATATATCACACAAGGAGTCATAAAGATTTTATAATTACCAAGTTAGATGTCTTTTTTAAGCAATAAGCAAGTTCTTCATGAAAAAATCCACATAGCTCTGAGTGTTATTTGGAGACTTGACAATTTTTCATTAATAAAAAGACATTAAAAAAACTTTAAAACTTTTCAACTTCGCAAATGTTTTTCAGTTTTTCTAGCCTGATAGAAAAAAAAAATGGCTTTAGGACTGTTATTCAACCCAAGCAGTAATAATATAATGATAAATTTCTCCAGCTAGTGCAAAAGTTGGTGCAAAACAGAATAACTGTAACCAGTGTATTGCATCACTTCCTTTATCAGTCTTATCACTACCTCTTTAGTTCTGATTAAACTACACAGGTAAATTACTACCTATCACATTAACCATTTTAAATATTAATAAAAAAAACTTTGGGGAGAAGTTCAGTTGCTCTCTAATCACTACTATACTCCTCTAGTGGCTTAATATGTTGGAATTGACCAGTTTCAGTACTGCCATACTGGTCTTCCCAAAGACTTCAGAGCACAAGAAATTTCCCTTTTAAAGCATTTCCAAGTGTTATAGATCGAAGGGAAGCCTTAAAAAATATCCAAGCCAACTCAGTGACTTCTGTTAAGTTCAGAATATCCACATTAATTTCAGATGCCAAGAAACAATTTGTATAATTTCAGCAACATTCAGAAAATGGGAGCAGAAGTCGTAAATCTACAGATTTTTTGAGCACATCTAATTTGACATGACAGGAAAATGCATGTCCTCTGTATTCAGAAAAACAATCAGTTTGTGAAGCCTAAGAATCACTGACATTTATTCTGCAGAAGGTACCTTAGTTGCAGAAGGGAGAAGTTTTCTTTCAAACTCTATATATTGAAGATAAAATTACTTATCTTCAATATAATTTCATATGAAGTCTGAAGGCAACCTTCCTGTCAAAATTCTAAGTCAGACAAATACAAATCCCCACAAAAATAATGAGGGTTAATCTTCTCCGTTAAGAAATACCCTATGAGCAGAAAATCACACAGAATTAAAGCTTAATATTAGTTAATATAATATTTACAATAATATGCAATTTAGACTGAAGTTCTCTATTAGCTCTTGTGTACCTTAGCGCCAAGGCTGTAGACCACTTATAGCCTCCGGTCCAGTTGCAGTAGAGCATCTTAGGAAAGACACGATTACCTAAACATCAAAACATATTCAAACCTTAATGGAACAGACAAACAGGTCCAAAAATTAAAAATGAAGCAAGAACAAACCATATTTCTCTAGCAAGAGACTAAAATGATTGACGTTCTTTGAACGAAGCACTACCAGTAAGACAATCACACACACAAAAATATATTGTATACTGCCCTCTTAATCTTTGTCTCATACCAGAAAAAGGCAAAGTAATTGGAAAAAAATAGGAGGGGAAAAAACTACTCACAAATTATATTATGACTCCCTACTAAAAGTCAAGAAATTCTTTAGGCAATGGTTGCTTTACAAGATCTATTTTATCCCACCTTACCTAGACAGTGAATATGATCCCGGACAGTACAAGTGGCATTATAGCGTTGTCGTGGGCAAGAAACTGTCATGCAGCTTGTGGAGTTGGTGCAGACATAATCAGTGGTCGGAAGCTGCCAGCAAAACTGGCACGTCATGTTAATTGTGAAGTTCTCCTGCTCGATGCTATTCTGATCCTATAAAAGGAGAGTATTATCTTCCTTAATAAGCAGGAAAGTCTCCCAGCATACAGTACCAAAATACAAATACAAGTCACAGACAGAAGTTTTGAGCAAAGTAGGACTTATTCTGTGTTTGCCACGTCTATGTGCTCAAGTATAACAGAAAGTCAACAGCACAAAACTGGTAAGAACAGTCATTAAAGGTCAGTATAATATTGCTGCTTACTCCAATCTAATTTAAAGTTATGGCCAAAAGAAGAAGCCTCAAATTACTCGGTCATTTTTTTTTTTTTTTCTCCAATATATGATCAGTTTGCTCATCTAACAGACATTTAGACCTACACATTTTTCATTTATCAGCAAACTGATTTAACTCCATGTGGTTATGCTGCTGTGTGACAAGATTCACGCAAGCGGAGGCAGAGAAGTGTAGGTCTGTCCCTTCCAGCAATATCCTATAGTTAAACCAGATTGAACACGCACAAATCTGTAAATATGCCTATGTAAAAAAACTAGATGTTCAAAATTTCTTTGATGACAAGATACCAAGCCCCTATCAAAAAGTCTTAATCCAGATTAAAAGTAATAGGATACTTACAACACAATGAACATATGGCTTTATTTTGCAGTCAAAAGTGGCTGGTTTCCCATATATACAGGAAAAGTTTGTGTTACAGGTCATGCAGTCAGGGGGCAATCTACTGCAAAGCCCATTGCTGGGGCATTTAGTCACATAAGGCGGCATTTCGGTGGGCTCTGAAAAACCAAGCGAATACAGTAAGTATCTACACGAGGTGGGTCTGCAGGCCCAGAACGGCCTTCCCTGCCGCACGGAGCGGGAGCGCTGCGAGCTCCGCGCCCGGCACGGGTTCCCCGAGGACGCGGCACCCCCGCCAGGCTCCTCAGCAGGGCTAATCAGCTTTGCTGCAGACACGGGCTGACACCAGCCTACGTGCGCTTCAGCGCTAGATAAGTCAGGGCTAGCTCAGACATCTGCTGCTTGCACGTGTTCGGAATCACCTCTTCTGAGCTGTTAGCGAGAGGAAGACCTCGGGCAAGTCTCATGGAGGGGGGATGCCCCAGAGAGCTACAGAGGTTGCACTTATGTTGAACATAAAGCAGGGACAACTTCTTGCACAATGCTGGAGTCTTTCTGGAACTCCCACCATCTGGAGAGGGAGCTGAACACGTGAACCGTGATCCCAGTTTAAAAGGTCATTTCCTATCTGTTAGATCTTATATGGAAAACCTAATTATATAATCCTGACTAGCTGTTTAAGGTCATTCAAAAGCCACCCTAACTGCAGGATGTCTTTTGCAACTGTGAAAGTTTAGACAGGTTTACATAACCCAAGAACTTCACTATTAAACTAAAAATTTGAGGAAAAAAGCCCCATAGAAGAACACCCAATGAAACATCAGAAGCAACAGTTGTACCTGCTGCTTTAAAATAGGGAGTATTGGTACTAGTTGAAGTTAGACTTTTTTCAAGCGTAGATTGGGTCTGTGAGTGCTTGGTGGCCATCAAAGATCCAGCTGTAAGTGAAAAAAAAAGAAAGGAGGTGGTCATATTTCCAGAAGAAAACTGCTCTTCAGATACAGCTCATTTCCAGCACCCTGCTATGAAATTACGAGTGGAAAGTGTGATGAGGATAAAAACAGTCGTTATAAATCCTGCACAGTTTATAAGCAGGCGGCTGCTCAGGCACTACGGGTCAGCCCAGGATGTTCCCGGTGGATGAGGCAGCGTTTTTGTCTCGGCGCGGCCTCGCCTCTGGCTCCTGCGGCAGCGGGGAGGGGGTCGCTGGCTCCGGGGACGGGGCTGAGGGCCGCGCAGACCCGTCCCGGGGCCCCGGCTCCGCTCGCGGGGACCCGCCCGC